ACGCCGTCAGACTTTTGCAGACTGTTTTGCTAACCTTTAATCACCACCTCCTGTAGTTTGTTCTGACCAAACTTCAGGTGTGTACGACCTTCCCTGCAGGAGGAGATAGATTGGGAAAATGGCCAAAAATTAGCGAAAGTGGCCCGTAATGTTTGCCGTTTTTCCAACATAGCAGATTTCTCGTTGGGTTTAGAACTTGGCACCAATTGACTTTTTTGTGCGTCCTGACCTGCTACACAGGCCCACCGAATCTTGCAGCTGTAGCTGAAACAGCTTTCCGCCGGGACTCCGTAGAATGCCAGAAACACCACAAAATTGGACAAAATGGCCTTTCATTGAAATTGCACAGGCCGCCATTTCCACGCCGTCAGACTTTTTCGGGGCATTTTAACAGCCTTTAATCACCACCTCCTGTAGTTTGTTCTGGCCAAACTTCAGGTATGTACGACCTTCCCTGTAGGAGGAGATAGATTGGGGAAAATGACAAAAAAATGGCCAACATGAGTGAAAATGGCCCGTAGTGCTCGCTGTTTTTCCAACATGGCACATTTCCTGTTGGGTTTACGGAGGCGTGCTAATGGACTTTTTTGTGCGTCCCGAGCTGCTACATATGCCGACTGAATTTCATAGCTTCATAGCTCATCTGCTTCGTAGATTGTGTGGCGACAATAAGGACGTTTAGAAAGCAGCTGTTCAGATCTGGGTTATGATGGAGCGCTCCGATAAGAGGCGTCGGGGCTTCCCCTCGTCGTCCACCATCTATTAACCTGCTGCTGGAGAACAAACATTAACGTCACGTTGGCACAATCATGTAGAAATGTCCTGTTTGAATTCAAATAAGAAGGACTTGTGGACGCTGTCGGGAGGAAATGTTCCTTTAAATCAGGACGATTTTTATACGTTTTTGACTCGTTTGGTGTTTTTTATAGAGCTGAAATGACGTTTAAGTGAAAGTAGTGAACTCTGTCCAACACTTCTCTTCTGTTTATTCATGAAAAGTCTATTTATTGATGTTTTATTGCTCAGATGTCGGCTGTCTGTCGTCTAACAGAAACTATCCATAAATCCACATTTCAGACTTTATTCCACGCCGCTGGTTTCGTTTCAGACGCTGTAAAGTTTCACGGCTCGACACGTGCGTCACGCGTGCTCGTTAATCCACACGGACGCCGTGACGCCGAGCAGCAGCTTCTGGTGTCCTCCAGAGTTTCAGTGTTTCAGACGGCGACCGCAGTGTTTGGCGGCTGGGTGTGTCTGCAGCTCTGTGGCTTCTGCTGCTCTGTTTTTAGTCGGCCGGACGAACTGGCACAGCGTCAGGCGTTTGTTCAGAGCTCCAGCAGAAGGTTCAGGACCGAACCGGGGTCAGGAATCTGAATTACAAAAATACGCCTACAGTTTTCAACCAGATTTATTTCAACAGTTTGCCGTCATTTTACAGAGTTTAGTTAAACTACACATAACGAGTAAATTCACAGAAAAAAGCATTAATTTACATGTTAATGCTCAAAAAACCAAACTGGAACAAAATCCACATTATTCATCATTATTTTACAAATATCCTGCATTATTTAAAAAAAAATGTTTGTACATCAGGGATTGGAAAATGTTGAACCATTTATTTCACATCTGTTCCTTGTTTTGTTAAATTACAGACAACAGCGAGTAAAATCATAGAAAATATATTTTTAAAAAGTGAGCATAACTCTAAATACTGTCCACATAAAAATCAGTGTTTTTATAGATAGTAATTTGTTCTTTTACATTTGATTTTAGAATTTTTAAAAAAAAAAAGTATTTAAATCACAAAAATGCTGCTATTTTAAAGATATTATTAGAAATAATGAAAAAATTGAGAATATTTTTTTTTCTATTTTTGCTGTTTTATTAATTACAGAAAATCACTTTAAACAAGAAATATAAGTTAACTGTATAAAAACTGACCGAAACTGTAAATAATGTCTGTTTTAAAATGTATTTGTCTTATTACAAACTATGATCGTGTAATTACACAGTGTTTATAATTATGTTTTAACAGCAGAACATGTGGGTATGTTGTAGATATTTGTGGTTATTTGAAAGAAGAAATGTGTATGTTAAAAATTCAAAACTGTAAATAATTAGATAAAACATTACAAGAAATATTTTTTATTTTTTTTCAGTTTTGTTAAATTCACTATATAGTAAAATCACATAAAGGTATTAATTTACATGTGAATTATAAAATAAGATTATTTTACTAAAAACATATATTGATTTATTTATTTATTTTTGAACAGTTTTGGAACTTAACCAAATTCTGCTGAACGCTGTGTCTGTGCTTCTCTTTCAAAATAAAGTCGTTTCCTTTGATATTTTGCGTATTTGAGAGCCAGTTTATCTCCTCAGAATCAGCTGTTTTACCGTCACACTAAGAATATTTTCAGACTCTTTAGGTCCACAGAAGTAGCTCCAAATTGATTTTTATGGATTTGTTTGATTTCTATGGTGTGACTCAGTTCAAATGAGGCCTTTAGCAGCAGAAATGTTGATGTGGTGTTCCACAGGGTTCTATACTGGGTCCTCTGTCTGACCCGGGAAACTAATTCACAGCGCAAAGTCATGTGACCTTTAAAGAGGGTAAACGTTCCAGGCTGGTATCAGCATGTGTGACGGTCAGAACCAGTTCTAGACAATTGAAGGACCATTTTAGCTCCAGAACCTACCAGAACCATCTGTAGACAGGACCCATTCTGTGGGAGTAAAAATAAATAAATAAATAAATAAAAATCTAATATAGTCATATTTACTCTTGAGACGGAGACACCTGGATGGATGTAGAACTGATCTGGTGTCAGGTTCTACCAGAACCCAGATGTGTTCTTCCTCCTAAATGTCATGTGTCTATCTGCTGTACTGATGAAGTTCTGAGGCTCAGAAATGATGGAAAAAGTCCATTAAAGTGATCAATCTGGACCCTCCTCTGTGGACTTCAAGCACCTGGACCTCTGGAACATTCACAGTCTGAAGGTAGAACTCTGGTCAGTAGATAAAGGTTCTGCAGATACAGAACCAGATGTTCTGAGGAGGTTCTGGAGGGAACTTTGTCAGATTTGGTTCATTTTTATGCTTGTATTCTGAAATCCATGAATCTCGATGTTCGTGTGATGCCGACACCAGAACGTCCGACTGGAACAACCACTCTGCTAAAGCATAAAAATCCACATTAAAGGCTTCACTGCAGTGTTTCTAGTGGATCCAGAACCATGTGGCTGGTTTAATTTAAACCCGACGCAGTGTTTTGTTGCTGTAAAGGCAGAAACTCTCGTTGACGGAGTCCCTAAAGCGGCTGTTTTCCAGTAAAATGCACCAACGCTGCTGGTGTTTAGGAAGCCGGAGCCCTCAGAGATAAGTTCACTGTGTGTGTTCAGTTCCTGTTATCTTTAACCGTCGCGCTTCCTTCTGCGTTTTATGGCTGTGTGTGTGTGTGTGTGTCTGTGTGTGTGTGTGTGTGTTGACAACATGGCCGTTGTGTCGCAAAGCCTCGAGTGTGAGGAAACCAGTCAGAGTTTGTGGGAATGTGACAGAAGCTCTGCTGTTGAGAAGCTTTTGGGAGTTTAGTTAACGCAGTAATTCAGGTTTTATTTTCCTTTGAACAAACTTTATTGATTTGAAGAAACAAAACAAGACGTACAAAAACACAACAAAGATTTTGTTTTAAAGTAAACTAAACACTGTGACGCGCACTAGAAAGCTCAGAGAAAGAAACAATTATAGTGTTATTTGAGTTTTTGGTTTCTTTATTCACCAAATATGAATAAACAAGCATTTGGGTTTAACAGAACATGTAAATAAGACAAACGTCAAATGACAATAAAGACCGTAAAACAAAAGAAAAAAATCTGCTTTACTTTTTAAATTAAATTTTCATTAAATGACCATTTTACGCACAGTTTGTATAGATTCGGGATGTTAATGTGCAGTCATGAATGCTGATAATTATTTAGCAAAAATAAAAATAGATTAACCGAAAAGGCAGAAGAAGGAAAACGTATCCTGGAGCAGCTGCAGTACCTGGTTGTTCCACCAGGTGTGCTGTGACCGACTCTTTGTGACGTAAATTTCGTCTATAGGGATGTTCATTATTTAACCGATTAAAAGTATAGTAACTGAAAAGGTAAAAGAAGTAGGTTGTGATGTCAGTAAACGTATCGTAGACCAGCTGCAGTACCTGGTTGTTCCACCAGGTGGAGCCTCTCACTGTTTAGAGACCAGACAAGGCGTCACTTCCTGGTTGGCAGCAGAGAGCATTGTGGGAGTTTAGCAGCAACAGGACCATGACAGAGATTCTGAGAAGGTTCATGATCTCCAACCAGAGCTCGCTTGAACTGAAAGATCTGCTAGCGTAGCGCGTACACGACAGAGCGCTAATAGAACAGCTAGCAATGTTCGTTTGGGTTTTAAACAATCCTGAGCGGAGTCGTTCCATAAGAATGTTGGAGTTCAAACCTACGTAGTTTTGTTTTTGTTTATTGGTCGTGTTGTGAGCGACTGAGGAGGTTTCTGTGGTGGCAGCAGAGAGCATTGTGGGAGCTCAGACACTCTGAGGAGGTTCATGACCTCCAGCTCGTCTTCAACAAGGACCACAGTGGTCCTGCACCCTCAGGGCTGCTGCGATGGAGCTGCTTTACTTTCAGCTTCTGAGTTTGTGGCCACAAATGGCTTCAGATGGAATAAACATCGTTTGTTTGAACGAGTGATTGATTATCGATCGGTGAAGAGGCCGACTGTCTGATTCGGAGAGGGAGGCCTGTAAACGTGCTTGATTCACATGGAAATGACTGAAACACTGAAGAAAAACGTCCATTCAGTTGATTTATGAGAAGTTTTCCAGACATCACTGTCGATAAACGTCTCTGTTGTTCAGCTTTTAAGCAACACACGCATCAGTAACAATAACATAATGTGAAAAAAATTTATTTATGTAAATCTAAAGTCTAATGAACCTTTTTTTCTCTCCTCAGAGCACTCAGATCGATCCAGAGGAGCTGTTCACCAAGTTGGATCGCATTGGAAAGGGCTCGTTTGGAGAGGTGGGTGTCACCGTTTTATACGAAGCCCGGTTGGTTTCCAGTCAGGGTTTGTCTCCTCTCAGGGCTCCTCGGTTCCTTCACCTCGACTCTTTCCTCCCGCAGGTGTTCAAAGGCATCGATAATCGCACTCAGAGCGTCGTGGCCATAAAGACGATCGACCTGGAGGAGGCCGAGGATGAGATCGAGGACATCCAGCAGGAGATCACGGTGCTCAGCCAGTGCGACAGTCCGTACATCACCAAGTACTACGGCTCCTACCTGAAGGTGAGGCGCAGGAAGCAGAGGGGCTGCTGGGAAACGTAGGAGGAACTGGGGCTGAGTCTGGTGCAGCTTTCTGTCGTTTCAGGGCTTTTGTTAAAGGCTGCATTTTTAACTAGTTGCTCCTCCTTCAGGGCAGCAAACTGTGGATCATCATGGAGTATCTCGGTGGAGGATCAGCGCTCGACCTGGTGAGTCTGAAACCACGTCGTGACCGGATTTACTGATCCAAAGCTAACTGCAGTAGACGAGCAGGTCGTCGGATCACGAGGTGATGCTGAAGAATAACCTTAATAATAATAAACAGGATTTAGCTCCGTGTCTTCTGTGTAACTCTGTAATTCTGCTTAATCTGGTGGGTTTTCACTCATGAAACACACATTTGAGTCCAAATAAATGCACAGAAACGATGTCAAGGTTTTTAAAAAACTGTGAATTTTTTCTACCAGATGGTGTTGGTGAAGAAACGAGTGAATCCACAAAGCTGTAGTTCTGAAGAAATGATTAAAAAGTTAGAAATTAATGTAAAAAAAGTAAAGAAATGTTCATGTTTGATGAGATCACAGTGATTCTGACGGCGGGTCAAGAACTAAACAGGTTTGAACGCCTGTGCTGTGATGTAATCATTAATTCAGAATAATTTAGTTTTTATCAGACGGTCTTGATCCACTGACTTACGTTTAGTTTACCTGCATGATGTTGCTCCATCTGGTGGATTTTCACTCCCTGCTGCACGTTTACGTCCAGATAAATGCACTAAAACAAGTGTTTTTGCAAAATATCTGGACTGCAGCTGTTTTCTGGAGACGTTTGAGGCTCTGAGACGCTTCAGTTCAGGCAGAATCAAAACTTTACAACAAATCAAACCAGCGAGCGAGGCGCTGTCGTGTCTCTGTTTGTTTGGTTTTCCGTGTCGAGTCTTGCCTCGAATCAAACAGAGCTGGGTGTGTTCCTGCAGCCTGCAGCCTCCGTGTGCTCTACCTGTCCTCACCTGGCGAGTGTGTGTGTTTACACGTGTGTGTGTGTGTGTGTTTAATGTGTGCAGCTGCGTGCGGGTCCGTTCGACGAGTCTCAGATCGCCACCATGTTGAAGGAGATCCTGAAGGGCCTGGACTACCTGCACTCTGAGAAGAAGATCCACCGAGACATCAAAGGTCAGGATGTGGAGTTATCAGAGAAGTCACAGTGTTTATGATCTGCTGAGTCCCAAACTGAAGCCGGTTTCATCGTACATGAAAGTACATCAGATCAACCCAGTGGGCCTCCAGTCTGTTCCTTAGCGTTCTGCAGGTGGAACCTTGTGGTGAAGCTCCAGTAGAAACGCAGAGGTGGTCAGGATGTTCTGAGGCTGAAACTGTTGTTGTTTGTCTGCAGCTGCCAACGTCCTGCTGTCCGAGCACGGTCAGGTGAAGCTGGCCGACTTCGGCGTGGCCGGTCAGCTCACCGACACGCAGATCAAGAGGGAAACCTTCGTGGGAACGCCGTTCTGGATGGCGCCGGAGGTGATCCAGCAGTCGGCCTACGACTCCAAGGTTGGTCCGCAGACGGTCATACGCAGCGTTTAGCGACGCTCTGGTTCACTCAGAGCTCCACAACATGTGGACATCAGGGACAATCCAGCAGGATTTAACAGGACATGAATCCTGAGCTGCTCTGGTGGTCCTACAGAGAGACTCTTCACCTCAGACAGGCAGCTAACGAGCAAACAGCGCAGTGAACAGCTGATCTTCTGCAGAAAAGCTACAAACACAGAAGAAAACAGCCACTAAAGATGCTGCTGTTAGCGGTCAGACGGAGCCGCTAACGGAAGCTGCTGTGGGTTTAATCAGAACTCAGCAGACGAACCATCACTTTGTTAGATATCTTGTTTTAACTGCATCCAGCTTCAACACATGGTGAATGTCTGGATGTTAGAAACCAGTGACATGGTGTGTTGGATGGTCTAATGTCTGAGTGCAGGTGGAAATAAGGACCTAACGTGACATAATTGCCTCGTTAGAAGCTGCTCAACGACCTTTTGTTTGCGTGTGAAAAGCAGAACCTGACTTTTGTCCACTTCTGTTGGTACCAGCGGTCGGACTGATTGTGCTGCTCAGGTGTTTCATCAGGTCTATAAATACGCCTCACGTCTCCGGGATTCCCCCTGTCTCCGCCGCGTTGCCGTGGCGACCGGATCCACGTGGATTTGTTGTTGCGCCAGCTTTCAGGTGGTTTGCATTGTTTCCACAGTCGCCTGGCTTTTATTTGCATCCGAAGAGACGCTGCTGCTGCTGCCGCCGCCGTCTGGTTCAGCGCTCTGGGCCTGACGGCGAGCCTCCAGCTCGTCCTGTACGGGGATCCCCTCACCGCCGTCGTCTCTGTTGGCGGGTTCAGAACAAAGCTGGACAGGTGTCCTCCAGGCAGAGCATCTCTGAGGCCTCAGAGCTGCACCTGCTGCAGTGAAAGGCCGGGCTAAAGCTCAGGAACAAAGTCAACAAAGGCTCTTTATGGAGTTACGTAACGAGGCCACGTCTGCTGCTCGGTCGCCGCCTTTTGTTTTAACTCACCTGCAGAAGGCGTGTTGTGGAAATAAGGCCGCTCCATCAGGGCGTGTTTGCTTTCTCTCCTCGTGTGGTTTGATTCACGTTGGCTCAGAACCAACCTCTGTTACAGCCAATGAAACGTCTCGTACCAGAACCGTCCTCTGGACACGATCCACTGCGTGGCTCAGTCGTTTTGTATTACGGGCTTATTACAGCGCTTTAAATGACTGTTCTCACTGCGATACATCCCATAATACTGATGCTACCAGCTGGTTACAGAGGACATGAACAGAAACCAGGTCCAGTGTTCAGACTGAGACACCTGGATGGATGTAGAACTGATCTGGTGTCAGGTTCTAGCAGAACCCAGATGTGTTCTTCCTCCTAAATGTCATGTGTCTATCTGCTGTACTGATGAAATGGATGTAAAATTGTCCAAAATAAATTTAAAACTTGACCCAAGTTACTTGAATTTTGTCCCTAGTGACAAAAACCTGTTCAGAAAGACTCAAACGCTGCCCCAAATCATTCAAAACTCGTCCAAAATGTCGTGAAGCTTCTCTAAGATGACCCAGTATGCCTGAAAACGTTTCCCAAATCACCCAAAATGTGTCAAAAATGACAAAAAAAATCCCAAAATGCCTCAAAGTCTGTCCAGAACAATTCAAAACTTGTCAAAAAACTCCAAAATAACTCAAAACTCGTCCCGAACAATTTAAAACAACAAAATGTCTGTAAACCAGAGAAAAGGAATCGTAGCGAGAAGACCTTTCATCTGACCAGAACTGATCTGGTGTCAGGTTCTACCGACACCATTTCATTCTGGTTCCAACCTGCAAACATCTTTGACTTTCACTCCTGATTATTGTCTTAATCGTGTCATTTGAGACAGACTGAGCTGCACGTGTGGAGTTTGACGTCTTTGAACGAGGAGGAACTTTTGGTTTTATTCTCGTTAAGGGGAAGGAAGACGGAGTGTAACCTGTCGAAACCCTGCAGACGGTTGAGCAAACGCAAGCCGAGAACAAACAGAAAACAAGCTGCAGTTTGGTCACCGAGAAATATCACCGGCGCCGTTTGTTTCTGAGGAATCTTCACCATTAATAATAATAATAATAAAGGACTATATAGTGCAGAGCTAATGAGCTCTGGATGCTGCTGGAGGATTAAAAACTCTCATTTGTGAACGTTTTATTGTCAGGAAGCAGCGCAGTGATTAATTAATTGATTCATTATCAACTATCTTGATGTTTTATCCAGGTGGGAATCATTGTTTTTACTCAGCAGAAGTCCTGGTTAGATGTTCCAGCTTCCTTATTATTAAACATCATCTGGTCAGTTCGTATAAAATCAGCCCCCAGAACTGCTCAGAATCAGCAGATCTAAAAATAAGATAAATCTACAGTAAGTTCAGTGGATTTAATGAAGAAATGTAAAGTTTGAAATGTCTAAAAATAAAGGAAGCAGCTATCCGGCTAGATGTTGGATGTTTGCTGAAGTTCAGCGTAACGACAAATTAACTTTCTGGTCAGTCGATGCAGATTTTACATAATTTACACGTTATTGTGATTCTAACACATCCACTGGACAGAATAAGACAAACCTTAGATGTCAAACATTACATTTATTTCACGTTTTCTTCTTACGGTGCTGATAAGAAGTTTTGACTTTTCCACATTGAACCAGTCGCATGTTTTATGTTTGACTTTGTTGAATCTGCTTCAGTCTTTTTTGGGATGAGTTCTTTTCTAAAAAGCCAAATTTAATTTACAGCGATTCAACGTGGAGAAGCAACAGAAGAGGAGAACTTCTGAGGACGATGGATTTATTTAACTTTGTTTCTTAGACTTTCGAACGCAGCTCGTGTTTTCCAGGAAACGCTTTGTGAGGACGTTTGAGTTCTTGGGGTCTGGTTGTGTGACGTTTGTGCCGCTCCAGGCCGGGTTGTGTTTGCGTTGCTGCCATCTGGCCGCTGTGTAACGTGACCTGAGCAGCCACGGCCGACTGCCGGACGGATCAAGCTGCTCTGCAGACCGACACCCAATCAGGTGGACAGATGGCTGGTGGGCGCAGACCGGCAGTCAGACGCTCAGCGTCCGTCCAAACCGCCCGACTCGGTGCGTTTGTCTTTGTGAGATAGCAGAATAACCGGTATTCCCGACATGGAGGCGAGCTGGTCAACGAGTCCTGCTGACATCATGAGTTAATAAACAGGAACATGATGTTTAACTCATTTGTGGAGTAGAAACCTCCAAACCATTTGCTGCTTCTTCTCTTTCCGTAAACTGAATATTTTTGGGGGTTTGGATTGTCAGTCGGACAGAACGAACCTCTGAAGATGTCTCGTCGCTTCTTGGTGAACGTTTAAGTCGTTTTGGAGACGAAGAGGAGTTTTTAGAAATATGAAGCATTCAAGTTGTTGAGCTGAGGAAGAACTTTTTAGCTTGAATCCAAAGCAGGATGATGAAACTGCACGAACGCAAATGAAAACATGACGACAAAAGACAGTTTAAGAAAAGGTATAAACTGAAGGTTTAAAGGTGCCGTTCAACCAATCAGGTGGTTGGAGAGTGGATCCTCTCAGGACTGTCTGAGTGTTGACAGACTAATAATGTCAATGATTGATTATCGTTAACAATTTAACAGCTGAAAAGGTCACGATGTCGGTAAACGTACCACACATCAGCTGTAGTACCTGGTTGTTCCACCAGGTGGAGCCTCTCACTGTTACTGACCTCTGAGGAGGTTGATGAGCTCCGATCAGACCTCTCACTCTCGACAGGACAGCGTTCTTGTTGTTGATTGGCTGATGTAAATAAGCTGTTTCTCCCACTAGACTCGCATTTGTAGTTAAACTAAAACATCAGCATTTCTGAAGATGGACGACTGTTTCGGTGCCTCTAGTTTGGGATTTGGCCGTCGTAGTCTCGTCTGTTGAAATATGAGCTCAGACTGTTCACGTCTTCAGCCTCCGCCGCTCTGTCGTCTATTGTCCTCTAAATTAAACTGTAATTATCTAAATGAACATCAAGCTGCACTGGAGGAGGCTTGAAACCGGCAATTCAGACCATAAACTCAGTGGGAGCGTAAACCGAGGTGATAAATCAAGCGGCTCATCGTACTACGAGGCTGTTGGAGGAGGCGCCCCCTGCTGGCTGCTTCAGCTCCCTTCAGCAGAGATTTATCGTCTCGTTATCGTCGTTACCAAAGAGGCAACCAAACTCTGTGACACTTCGTCAGATTATCAGTTTTTGTTCTTCTCAAATGTGCTCAATCAATTAAACAAATATATGTGTATTTTTATTAAGTTTGTGACCAAGTATTTCAAAATAAAAGCATTCTATATGTTTCGTTTTGTGTTGTTGTGACCTAGAAATCAGAAAATACCACTAGTTGATTCTGCTTTATCAGTTTTTAGTAATATTTTAGTCTACAGTATACCTGATATCTTTATAAATGTGCATATTTAAAGGTTTCCGGTGAATCAGGAGGTGGTCGAGCAGCAAATGTTCCATGAGACTGATGGTTTAAGACCCAGACATCAAACGTTGGCTCCTGTTTTTGTCCTTGCAGGCCGATATTTGGTCGCTGGGCATCACGGCCATCGAACTGGCCAAAGGGGAGCCTCCTAACTCCGACATGCACCCGATGCGAGTCCTCTTCCACATCCCCAAGTCGCCTCCTCCGACGCTGACCGGCGATTTCTCCAAGAGCTTCAAAGACTTCACCGAGGCCTGTCTCAACAAGGACCCCACCTTCGTAAGACAAACGCCTGACAAGTCCTGTGTCCTTCATTATCTTAGAATAGCTGAAAATCTGTTACTACAGTGGAAATAGTTTTCCTGCAGCCAGCGTACTTGACTTTGAGCTGTAGTCTGAGTTTGTGCATCACTGCAGAAACGATGGAAAAACTCAAATAAAAAGTGATAAATTTGGTCTGAAAATATTCACAGTATGAAGGTAGAACTCTGCTGATGATTGTTCATCCTGAATCCATAACAGCATCGTGTTTGTTTTCCTAATTTCAGGCCGTTCTTTGGGCTCACTGTGTTGATTTGTGCAGCTGAATTAAAAAATAAAAGCCCCGTAATCCTGCACTATCCTGTTTTGATAAGATTTTAAATTAGTTTTACCATTTTCTCCTACTGGTCGACATGTGGGTGGACGTTGGGGTGTAGGTGGCTTAATTTCAGTTGTTTTTTTATTTAAAGTTTAGCTGGTTTGAGACGTCTGTTCTTCATGTTCAGGCAGCTTGTGTGTGATTGTAGCTGCTTGTTGCTGCCTCCTGGTGGACACACAGGATACTACTTCCTCCAACAAAACCTGTTTTCTGAAATATGTTTAACTTTTAACCCGGAAATCTGCAAAACCTCTTACTTTCTGAGGCTCCCGTTGAGTAAATGTTCCTTCTTCTCCGCAGCGTCCGACAGCCAAGGAGCTTCTGAAGCACAAGTTCATCGTGAAACACTGCAAGAAGACGTCGTACCTGAGCGAGCTGATCGACCGCTTCAGGAGGTGGAAGCAGGAGGGCCACAGCGACAGCAGCTCCGAGGACTCCGACGGGTAAGTTCACCGCCTCAGCTCCAGCAGCAGCGGCTTCGTTCTTCCAGGTTTGTTTCCAGGCGTTTGATAACAAGTGATGTGTTTTGTGTGTGAAGCGAATCCAGCAACAAAGAGAACAGCGACTCTCCTGAGTGGACCTTCACCACCGTCCGGAAGAAGAAGACGGACGGACGGACCGCCCTCAACGGGGTGGACAGTACCCAGCATGTATGTATGTCACATAGTGTTCAGTATAAACCGGCTTTCATCAGCGGATAGATGCCTTCAGGATGATCACACCTCCTCTGATCAGCTGTCAGGAACAGCATGAAGTGTTTGTTCTTGTCGTATTTTATTCACTTTTTTCAAACTTAACAAAAGCGTGAAGCCGCTACTGCACAAATAATTAAAATATCCAACATTTCAGGCTTGTTTTGTGCACGGTGTGAAACAGCTCTGCATCGTCTCTGCAGCTGTTGGGAACTTTTTAGTTGCTTTTAAGTCAGGTTTAGTATTTTAGTCTTTTCTCAAAGCTCACATCTACGTTCTCAGACCTGACGTGTCCACTTTTGCTGCAGATATGAGAATAAAAAAGCTGGTATTTGACTGCTGGTATCTGAATCGATCAAGTCCAGTCATGCAGCTTGTTGTTCGTAACTCGCTGTTCTGACAGAAGTTCGTCAGTGTGAATTAAGTTTTGTGTCACATGTGCATCATTGAGAGTGTAATTTGGACTGATTGTTTTCCTGTGGAACCGACCAGACGAGCCTCTGCTATGATTAAAACCACAGTAACGCTGATTAATGGAGCTGATTTCGTTGCCTTTGTGTGTTCAGGGTCAGGACCAGCTGAGTAAATCTGCCAGTCTGACCACGGTCATCTCTCCCGTCTTCACTGAGGTCAGTACCCAGCGTTAGCAAACCAAAACCTCCACGCTTCAGGTTCAGTCTGTACAGGTGTGTTCACGTGGAGGGAATAACACCGACGCTTTGAGCTGCTTCCTGTGAGAATATAGTGTAAAATAGGATCCCGCCTTCAGAGAGAAAACACAACTTTCTGAAACTTTGTCTTCAGAAAGCAAGACAGAAGAAGTTCCAGCGTTCAGGAGCTTAACAACGATATTTACGCTTTCTAAAGTTGCTCCAGAATCGTTTGACATTTGGGAAATGGTTTTTCTTTGCTGAGAGGAAGCTAAAAAGGTGTCACTCATGTTTATCCACTGGAGACAATTTAGCGTTCTGTAGCATGTTAGCATAGCTTAGCATAAGGACTGGACGCATTTAGATATTTAAGTGTCATTGTAGATGTAAAACAGCAACAAAAAAAAAAGAGAAACTCTGATATGACTCATGTTTGTCAGCTGAATATGAAATTATACTTAGCGGCATGCTAGTTTAGCTTAGCATAAGGACTGGATGCAGTTTTATACAACGGCGAAAAAGAAAATCACGGAACCAGTGATTTGGGTAATATTTAAGTAAAACAAATCAAAATCCCTGAGGTCAAAGTTTGTAAGTTTAAGTAACAAAACATGGCTGCATCAGATGAATTTACCTGAAGCGTGGGTAGGAAAGTTGGTAAGTTAACACTTTCTAAGGTATTTCTAATTTGTGGCTTTAACCAAAGAATATCTTTTATTTATGGTATTTGAAGTTCAGAAAATATTTACGTTTCTTTCTGTAAATTTGCAACTTTAAACTTTGAAATTTAAAAAATGAATTCTTTGTTGGTTTTATTACCTGCAGTGATTGTGATACATCATCGTAGCATCACAGTTATTTGGAGCTTTATGCTAAGCTAAGCTAACCAGCTGTAGTTTCAAACCGCTGTTTATTTGATGGTTTATTTTATCGTCGTCTTCTTCTTCTGCAGTTGAAACAGCAGCACAAGGAGCATTCTGAGCAGCGATTGGCCATCGAGAAACTGGAGAGCAACATCCGATTGGCTGAAGAGGTGTGTCCAGGCATCACGGACAGGATGGTCCAACGCATCATAGCCAGGTACCAGAAGTACGTCGGTCCTTTTCAAACATGGCTCCAGCTGGTTGCATTTTTCTAGCAGCACTTGTAGGTCTTCAGGTTCTGCTGCTTCTGTCTTTGCTGATTTGTTTCTGGTTAATGCAGGATGTTTGTGTCCTCGTCCTGCTAGTCGACTAAATCTGTCCTCTGATTCGTGCTCCACAGGTTCACGACAAACTGAAGGACGATCGATGGACCACCGAAGCGCAGAGAGACTGTGTCTCCGAACGGCTGCTGGACGACGAAACGGAGGAGATTTGCTGTGCGATGCCTCCTCGCTGTACACACACACACACACACACACACACACACACACACACTACTAATGTAATATATACACTATATTATATATAAATATAAAATATATATTCACTGCTGCTGGTTGAAGACCTTTTTTCTCCGCCGGAACTTTTGGAAAAACAATCTGAGTTGGACTTTTGGTTTTTGAGGTGGTGAACTTTCTCCCATTGTTCTTTTTGTAACGACTTCTTCCTCTTGAGCTTGAATGTGTTTAAAGTAAAGCAGACCAATGTTTCAGGCTGGCCTCAGTCATGAGTCATCTGTCACCATCATGTGCCTTAATCCTTTTTGCTATCAGTGATTTTCTACAAGAATGCGTCGCGTTTTTTTGTTTGGTAGAGATTCTTTTTGTCGTACGTGGAGAAACGTAAACCGAGGAGGGTTCTCGTCCATCAGCAGTGGTTTGTTTCGTGTCAAGACTTGCCTCGAGTCTGTAGATGTCGATATGTTTGTTCAGTAGCACTTGAGACAGATTATATGCCAATATTACATATGTTGTCTTCAGTAATGCCTTTTAATTACAGTTCCCTGTTTGCAGATGTCGGTCAATGTCAGGTTCACCCCTCAACGTCCAACAGTTACCACAAAAAATGCTTTTAAACTTTGCAGTTCGGACTTGGTAGCAGTGGAGATTCCTCAGCTTTAACCGCTGATATGTGCAGTAGCCTAGCTTCAACATTCAGTGTGTTCAAATGGTACAAACTCAAGAATTAGTGGAACACTTCAATGTTCCACTAAGGAATCCACTTTAACTTTTTTGCCTTCATTTCTGGAAGCTATCAGACCGTGCTAACCAGTGAGCTAGCTAGTTAGTGTCGTAGCCACCCAAAGTTTTTAGCAAAGTTTAGGTTTGCAAGTAAAGGCAGCTTTACAATATTTGTTATGATTTGAATTATTCAAACACGAAACTTTAATTTAAAAAAAAAATAAAAATAATTAATGTCCCTAGGCCCTGCTCGGGCTAGGCAGCTAGTCGCTTGCTAACCAATGAGCTAGCTAGGTATTGTTGTACCACCCAAAGTGTAGGTTTGCAAGTAAATGCAGTTTTAGATTATTTTTTATTATTTGAATTATTCAAACACAAAACTTTCGTTTAAACACAAAAAGTTCTCCGATTAATGTCCGTAGACCCTGCCCGGGCTCGGCAGCTAGTAGCTTGCTAACCAGTCAGCTAGCTAGGTGTTGTTGTAGCCACCTGAAGTAATGAGCAAAATTTATGTTAACAAGCTGCTCTAAACGTTGTTTTTTGAAGCACCGCCTGTGACGTTGCTCAGCAATAAAACAGAAACAGGAGAAATCTTGACTTTGGTGAAATTTCGTTGATTTGTGGAAGTCAGCTTTTGGTTAAATTTTAGGATTTCAGTGATGGAAAGACACAAACGTCTTCCACTGGCTCACGGGCTTCTTCATACGCATCAAGTTTGGGAAAACTATTGAAGAACGGCGCCAGAAAGTGTATTCTCAACGTGACGCTTGATGTGTTGAGACGTTAGTTTTATTCCGTTTAAACGTTGCACTGATTCTCTCAAAGAGCACGAAGGGAACCGTAATCAGAGGTATTACTGACAGTTTGTACCAAAGACACTATAAAACTTGGTCACTGTATAGTTTTGTCTTTTTATATATCATAAGGGATACGACAATGTTTGTTGAGGGGGGGAAATGTAAAATTAAAGATGTAAGATTTTACAGTAACATACTCTTTTTGTAGCGGGACTTAGAGTTTTATGAATAAATATTTAAGTTTGATTGAAAAACTTGTGTTTTTTTCACCTTTTTTTTGGTTTTCATACAACGAATGTGTATTCTGGATGTTGTTTTTTTTGTAACTCTTGTTGCACTTTATTAACTTGAGCACAATTATCTTCTTATTTGTGTTCCTTTATTGACGAATGCATCTGTATTCACATTTCTTTCCCTACAGAACTCATCATTTATGTAAAATAATACGTTTTCTCACGACATCACCCAGAAAGATATTTGATAAGTTCTCAGACTCTACGAAGGCATCACACCCACACACGAAGACTTCATATTTAAGTCCTAAAAGTTGACATTGGTCAAGCTGATTCAATCATTATCACTAACTGGACAAACGGGGCTTCACAATTAACATATATTTATCAAGGTTTGGGTTTTATTTTTGTAGCTTTGACCTCGATTTGGTGCGATGATTCGGAATGTGGCAACAAGAATATTTCATAATTGATAAACCAAATCAAACATGGTCAGACTGCTTGTAGATGGTTTAAGCTGGTTGGCGGCCATTTTATTTGGAGGGAAAACTTGACCTGAACACACCTGAAATGTTGAGCAAGAAAAGAGCAAGTGCCACAACTTTGGTAGCTTGAAGTCGGTTTGGGAACTGTCACCTTTGGCTAATATTTGATCTCTGATTGCTCATAAGTCTGAATGTTTGAGGTTTTTTCCCTGTTTTTAGCAACGTTTCCTTGCTTTGTCATCATAGTTTTGGTGAGTAGATTTTTGGCCCAACAAATCGACTGGATAGCTAAAGCTACAAAAGTAAAACCCTTCTGTCCATGCTGTACAGCCGGTGAGGTATTCCTGCCTCAGGTAATTGTTTCGATTTGTCAAAACAGACTTGGTAAACGTTAGATTCCAACACTCAGGAGTTTGTTACCTGGTTAGGCTAAGGCCGGTTTCACGCTTTGCACTTTCGAGAGTGCACAATAGTTTGCTAGGAAGTAATGTAAATTTTGTAAACTCCTCAAGTCCGCTTGGACCTCTTTGTACAAGTGCGTCCAAAATTTGTGTCCACATGACAAAGGCAGCAGTGCACGTTTTCAGAATACATCGATATGTCTTCTAAGCAAACGACCACGGATTAGAAAAGTAACAACAACCAAGTATACGATCACAAGGGAATATCATCAAAGCTTAAGGCTGGAGTCAGGTTCATCATAAAAACCCACTGACGGGGAAACGGACCTCTTTTACCCAAAGATCTACTCCCAAGCCTTGGAATCTAACGCCAACCACAATGCCTTCAATCCAAGCTGCCCTTGGTGTAGCAGCTGCAACAGATCGTTGGCTTGTTTGAGCTTTTATGCTCAGTTTGTAGGCTAACATTTAAGCATATAGGTCTGAATTTGCAAACTCTTGGACGTTTGCACCCATAATGTGGCAACTAAACAGCAGCCACTTTTCAGAATCTGAGGTTTTTGCTTAAACAAGGCAAAAAAAAAAATACATTTCATCTGCCAGTACATGTTGAAACAATACACTTCTCACACATTAATCACATCTATAGTCTCTGTAGTGGATGGTTTTCAAACCGTCCTGTGAGTTTTCACTGTGATCACATCTTGAACCCTCGTAGTGTTTCCTGTATACCGTGTTTTTGTCGTTATCTACAGCGTCACTTCGGTTCTCTTTGCTGCTCCTTTCGTCTCCTCCCCTTCGCTCTTTCCTTTATTCTCCTCTTCACCCGTCACCTTGGTTTTTGCCACCTCCTTCACTGCTCTATTCGCCGCCTCCTCCTCCTCCCCCTCCTCCTCCTCGTCCAGTTGGAGGCTCCCAGAAGAAAACCTCATCCTGGCGAGTCCAGCGGACCGTACCACCTTCCCCAGCTGGGGGGGTGGGCAGTAATACGGATAGAAGACCTCCGGGTCCGAGTCGCTGTAGCTTCCTGTGCTGCCGCCGATCATGCAGAGCGAAGCTGGGCGTTCTGGCAGAGGGGACGAGTTTAGCGGGAGGTAGGTGGGTCTGGATGGGCGAGTCAGGTGGGGGTAGTAACCAAGGGGACGGAACTCGGATGCGGGATTAAAGGCGGGATTCGAACTCCTTGAGAGCTGGAACTTGACATCTGGCTGGCTTGCCACACGGCGAGGCAACCCAGGGAGGAAGTTGGAGTCATCACTGTAATGCCCCGCCTCTGTGTGTCCGATGCCCAATAGCCTTGCGCCGTTGCTTCCTGGATGGTAGACTCGGGCCAATCCCAGCCCACCTGATCCGGAGGGGCGGAGGTTCCTCCTGATGGGGGAAAGCGAGGGTGAATCGTGGCTGAATGGGTAGAAGGATGGTCTCGGTACGCCATCCATTGTCACACAATCTCGCCGCCTCACATGCGGGAAACGCTCGAGTGAGGAAACTGTAACGTAGTCCGTCAGGTAGGGATGTCGATTGAGTGGCGAGGCTCCGGCAAATGGGAACGATGGCAGGACTGGGTGGTACTGGTAGGCGGGGCTGTTTGGGTACAGAAGAACCAGCTGCTGGGCGGCGTCTGGATGTGGCTGGGGGTTGGGCCGACGTCGGGACCGGTTTCCATAGACACCGGCTAACCTCTGGGCTTGGCGCTGCGCCCCGATCCGTCCCACCCGCACGTCCTCCATTAAAGACGTGGATGCAGATCTGGTCTTTGGCGACGGCGTTGATTGGTGGAATGATGGAGAGATGGGCGTGACCTGGGAGAGGGGGCGGCACCTCTGGTTGACCTCCACGGATGATTGGCTGCGTTTAGCCCCTCTTTCATTGAGTTCAATGTCGTTTATGCCTCGGTGATGCGGATCCATCTCGTCTTGACTGCAGACCGCCAGAGCACGAGTTGACCGGGGGAACGGGTGGGCGTGGTCGTATAACTGAGGGGGAAAGAACCACGTTAAGTGTCTTTGCTTCTTATTAGGGTTTCAGAACTCAAACAATGACAGTTTTTACCTGTTTGGAGACGTCGGTGAGGAGATCGGGGGAAGATCGACACTGTCTGGCATCAAAGTCGGACGGACAGTAAGTCCTGAGCAGACAGAGAAGAAATTAAGAGATTAGATGATGGGGACACTGATTTGGTCCTTGGTACAATTCATTCTCACCTCTCAAAGTGTGACGACTTCTTCTCCCCTGATCCCAAACACTCCAGCAGCTGTTTCTGGGTCCGACCACTGATGCACAGCAAAATAAAAGTACAAGAAGAGACAAGACAGTTGGATGAATGCATCTGTCATGTTCATGAGGGCTCTCATGAAGATTTTTTGACACTATTGTGCACCTTTTTCTGGAGCTTGTACATCTGCAGATATTGCCTGAAGTTCGTAGTAACACTGCTTATGCACTGACGTATACAAACCCAGCATGTCCAGAAGAACTGTGCTGGGAAATTTAGCTTCACATGACAACATCTGGCTGCTGTCTGTTGTGGTTCTTTACTGAATGTTTGTAGAGATGTTTGTATTGACAGGATCTACAGATGTTCCTGACTCCTAGTACAGATTGTGATGAGACTGGGACAGAGGCTCAGTGTTGTACCTGTATCTGAAGCTGGAGCCTTTACAGGACAGCAGGGTTTTCTGGATGGCCTTGGGTTCCTCAGCGAGCCTGAAGAAAGCGTGATACTCGACACACATCTTCCAGAAGGACTTGCACACGTCCCGGCTGGCCATGGCGAACTCCAAAGTGTCCTTACAGGACGGCTGCATGGACAGGAGACAATCAAATCTGAAAGAAGCTCTGACTGGTCGACACATGGACTCTGAGACTCCTGAAGGCACCTTCTGGTACCAAGACTTTACCCACTAAAGTTGTGATTCAGAGCCAATCAACACCTGACCCAACACCACTTTTTCATGGTCTGAACAACGATCCCCTGACATGTTGGCCACCACGATTTCTCCCTTGTTGCCGTTACTCAACCCGTCAATCCAGTCTGAATAAAGACTCCGTGGCCTCAGTAAACCGGTTCAGGTTCTCACCCCGACTTTGTCGTGCAGTTTGATGAGGAAGTGTTTGCGTTTGAAGCTCAGCTTGCGGATCTTCGCCCAGCTGAAGGTGTTGATTTTTGTGTTTCCCTGAAAAACAGAAGAATGAATCAGTGCTGTTTTAGACCCAAACCTTTGCATGTGTTCCATACACAAGAACCTGTAGAACCTCTTTATGACCCGCTCCAGTGTTTCTGAGCATCCCTGAACAATCTGATGGTGCGGGACTGGACGCTGATTGGTCAAATTAAACGATAATTGCGTTTATTTCTTCTGCCTTCTCCATGTCCTTGCTGTTCATCAGTACTCTCCTGTTGAACTCTTTGAAAAATTGACTGTATCACCCAACAAACCTCCACTGCTCTACGTCCGTCACAGATCTGGAGTTGCGTCTAGTAACAGCTGTACGTGTTGGTTCTGTTACCGTTGAAACTCATGAAAAGGACAATTACGGGACCGTTCTTCTAAAGTTTGGGGAAACCTGCACCTGAACCGAGTTCCTGCAGCAGAAAACCACCTTTTGTGGTCATGTATGTAAACTTTGTATGTGTTTGCTTTAAAATCCGTCAAAGGTGCACCTGAAAGACGAGCACGCCGGAGTGCGTGACGGCCAGGTTGATCCTCATCCCCTCCCCGTCATGGGCAGGCTGCGGTCGGATGCCGTACATGTCCAGCTTCCTGGCCACCTCCAGCAGGTGGATGTCCGAGTCAGCCGGAGAGACTCCTCTACGAAGGAGACCAGGAATAGCAAGAAGGACTTTAGAGACGTGGAATTAAGAAATAAATCCTACTGGTTTGAAGACAAAGAACCATTTCCTGGCTTTGGGTGCAGCTTTTGACCCTCTGCATCGAACCCTGTTTATTACAGGTGAACATGTGCGTTGAGGTGTTCTGCTTGGCGCCGTACCTGTGTTTCTTATGCAGCTTGATGATCTTGTGGTCCAGGTATTCCTGGTTGGGGACGTAGTGCTTCATCTCCAGGTGGTGACAGTCCAGCTCCTCGTCATAATCCCCTAACTCTGCTGTAGAGTACGCATGTAAATACTTCCTCTGTTTTAAACGTGTCCCACAACCTCCTCATATGCAGCAAAACACTGGAGTTAACGGGGAGTTAGCGCTGTACCGAACATTTTTCCCCCGTTTGTGCCCAAATGTGTACATATATAAAAATATATTCTAAAGTCCTGGACCTCTTAATGACGCCTGTGAACATTTGAGATATTTAACCGGTGAGCTTACACTGCAGTATGTGAGAAACCAGCAGGGCGGCGCTGTTGTCGTTGCAGGTCAGGCTGCCGTTGGACAAGTCCTGCTTTATCTGTAAGGCAAAAAGATACCTGCAAAGCACAGCGACGCAGTTACTACCTGGTATGCATGTGACAGGGAGTGGACTACTGGATGAGTGTGGACGTCACCTGGTGAGGCCTCTCTTCAGCTGTCCGGGGTCCGGAGGGAAGAATTTAACTATGAACCTGAAGAACAGATCGTTTGTGTCTGACGGAGAAAAGAAGAAAAGATAAAGCAGGTGATGGAGGTGCAGAGATGGACGATGATCATTAATAAAAATTCAAAAAACACATAAATGTATCTGATGTCGAATGTTCTATGATCCAAACTAATGCAACCAGTCTGCTAAAGACACCTGCAGGATTATGTATTACATAAATGTACCTGAATAATTTAAATGTTCAGGTTTAAACTGACTATATCACACAGTAGAGTTGTGTTTTCTCCTCTGTCGTCCTCGTTAACCCTCCTTCATGAGCTTTAATGTGTTTTCTGTTGTTTCCAGAAAGGACGGAGGAAGTGGAAGTTCATTATTCAGTGTCTGGTAAGAAATACGTTTTAATTTTCGTTGTTGTTTGTACTCTTTATAACGTCTGAGGAGAATGTGCCTGATGGAGTTTCTGCTGAACTCCTCCACAGACCCGTTTGTTCTGAGTCTTAAAGGGAACTCACATCGGATCTGTTTGACCAGCGGCTTCAGCAGCTCCAACCAAACCTGCAACAGAAACACGTTCAGACTCTGAGGACCTTCCAGCGAACACGTGAGCGCTGCGGCGTTCCTTACGTAGTTCCCGCCGTGGTGTCTGAACTCCAGGCCGAAGTACTCCTTCTCCAGCAGCTTCAGGTGGCCGCACACTTTGTTGAAGAAGTCGCCTCCCAAAACCTTTTGCTGCAGAGAGAATTGAAGTGGAGGTTCGTTAGGGGGGATAATTGGATTTTTTAATTGAGAAGCTCCTAAAACTAAAGTGTGAGGATCCTCCTGGGACCTGGTGGAAATGTGCTGCAGCTCAGTCGCTTTATTCACCAGAACTTTGCATAATTGAGGATGTTACAGACGCTGCAGTACGTATAACACTCTGGGTATAGATGGTTTTAGTGTTGGCTAACGGTGCACTCATCCAGTGCAGCTGTTAAAACAGAGAGAAGCAGTTTTAATGAGGAAACGAAGCCACAAACGTGATTCTGCTCCTCAGATGTGTTGCACGGTGACTTTGCTTTTCTTTTCTAAGAAGTCACCGTCCGACTCAGAAGCAACAGAAAGCAAAGAAGCTAACAGAATAAATCACATTTTTCTGTCACTGTCGGTGTCTTTGTTCGGTTCTGACCCGTGAGCTGAGGCCACCTTCAGTCCAGTCGGTTTCGTAGCTCCATCCTGAACTTGTTTCTGTCTCTGCTGCTCGTCGCCTCCTCCTCCGTCACATCTCTAATTATTGTTCGCTCTCTGCACGACCAGCAGGTTTTTTTTGTGCTCGCTGTCTGCTAGCTGGTGTTTAGCGCCCGGCGGGTCGCTGGACGTCCTTCATTAACTCGTCACGACGAGCAGCTGTGACCGATTACAGCCGGAATAACTGATAATTAGTGAAACAAGGGACGCCTCCGCAGCGCCGGAGCAGAACCGAGTGATGGAGGAAACATCTCTGGACTCAGTTCTACCAGCACTTAGCTTAGCATTTTAGCATCCTGCAGGCTCGAGGATGGACTGTTAGCAGGACGAAATATCGTTAATTTATAATCATATATGACGTTATTAGAGCAGGTTGAGGTTAAATGAACCGGTTAGTCTAGTGGTTTCCAACATGTGGTTCTCACCCCTTTGAAGGGCCTTTAAATAAATGTATGGGGCCATGAGAGGATTAATTGGACAAGAAAGAAAAAATAAGCAATATACAAGGAGCTTTTCAGCATCTTTAGGTTCATTGTTTTGGTGAAAATGATTTTAACTCGGACAGACTCGTGGCTGTTGGTGGATAGCGTGAAGGTTAAACTCTGTTCATTAAATATACTAAAGTTACTACTGATGAAACACCAGCCAGATTTCTAGTCCTTTTTACAATATAATCATCATTAAAATACATCAACTATCCCGTCATTGGCTTATTATATGTAATGTACCCTGCTGGGTAGCATGAAATAGGAGTTTTTTAAAATTACAGGACAAAGTCGGGCTAATGGGCTCCGATTTATGCTCCACATTTAGCAAATAAATATATTTTTTACCATAAACATACGACTGAAGAATGAAAAATGTCCAATTTTTAAAAATTATTATTGATTAACCGATTAAATAAGAACTGTTTTATGCTGCAGGACAAAGCTTTACTTTATTTATTTCTTAGATTGTAGTTGAAGTTGATGAATTAAAAGCTGCGTGTTGCTGGAAGCTTCAGGTCCTTCATGTGGTGCTTTCAGCATTGGACTACTTTAGCGTTCTGTCTCTGAAACCATCATAACTACCGATCCTATACCATAAAATCAGCCGTATATCTGTCTATGAATGTATACGTTGGTCCGCTGAGCCTCCGCCTCCTCTCCTCACGTCCATACGCCGTCTTGTCTTTGTCTCTGCCTGCTGTCCGATCATTAATTGGGGTTTTGCCCTGAAGCGTGGAGGATCGGGGTCAGATCAGAGAACCTCTTTCTTCAAACGCTAACGTGTTCATACTTTTATCTTTGTGAGGCATAATGGACTCTGCAACCCTCCCAGCCTCGATTATCCTCCTCTGTGGACGCCACCAACCAGCACAACCACGACTCTGATCACCTTAAGTATAAAAAACAAACACTGTCCTGGGTGGAAAACAGCATTTCATCCAGATTTTAACAGCTTTTCTAGCAGCCCAGTCTCCACAGGATGACGGTTTATACATTAAACTGCATTCTCAGATATAAACGATGTAAATAAATCGATATAATTCGTCAGGCGACTGGTTTTAAAGAGCCACAGAACCAGCAGTAGGAGGTGAAGATGGAGGTTTAAACCAGAGACCAAGACCAGAGTTGACATCCTGTGATGGATGAGAGACTTTGGTTTCATTTTGTTGTCGCTTGCTTTCTGTTTTCTGGTTCGGTTCTGGCACTAAAACGGTGTGGTTTGGTTTAATAACATTTCACGCTTTGGTCGACACTTTCATGGTTAAGATCAGTTGTTCTGGTTCAGAGAAGCGTCATGGTTTGGGTTCCGATCCAACCCTGTCCCTGCATGCCCTGACTGGGTCACCATGGTGATTGTTTACACTCAACAGGAACTCAGGAGTTTCCTTTTTTCACTGGACCGTGGACATAGTTGGTACGTTTTTCAGTTTTCCATAACATACACGTAGATAAGTTCTGGGTTGCGGCTGACAGACGAAGATAAAAGCGGCTGAACTGAGTCTTTAGGGTGGCAGGGTTTAGAGATGGGGTGATGAGCTCCTTCATGTCCAAAGGATCCAGTTGAAGGGTCAACATCTGATTTGGTTGCCTCCTTGGAGACTTCCGTTGGAGGTTTGGAGGTACATCCAGCTGTAAGGAGACCACCAGGTAGAGGACTTGCCTCGTCTGGCCTGGGAACGCCTCTGAATCCTCCAGGAGGAACTGGAAGCCGTCGCCGTGGAGAGGACGTCTGGAGCGTTGAGTTTATGGACGTATGTGACAGACTCGGTTTGGACGTGTCCAGCTGGTTGTCGTCTACGTATTCTGAGCACGAGCACTGCTGCGTTTGTCGCATCGTCATACATTTTGGGCTGATAGTGTCCATGTGACGTAAAGTTTCATGACCTGCCCAAGTCCTCCAGAGCCGATGCCAACCCTTCTGTAGCCCTGAATGTACCGGCCGTACAGCAGCTGGACTCTGAGGCCAGTGGGGCTCGTTCCTGGAACATTCGACTATTTATCCATCTTCTTCTCCAGAGTCTGGTCGAGGCAGCAGAGGAAGGAAGTCTTTTTAGTCTTTTTTTTTTTTTTCTTGTGGAGGACGCTGAGGTGTTTCCAGGCCAGATGAGATGATACCTCCAGAGAGTTCTGGTCTACCCAGGAGGCTCCTCCCAACTGACCTGAAAACCTCTGGAGGAGTCTCCCATTAGACGTTGAACCTCCTCAGCTGGATCCTGTCGACATGAATGAGCAGCGAGTCTACTCCGAGCTCGATCCAGGTGTCCAAGTCTTCACCTGATCTCTGAAGCTGAGTCCAGCCACCCTACGGAGTAAACTGTCAGTCACTACCAGAGCTCAGGACCGTAGACCGACTGGTAGACCGACTGGTAGACCGACTGGTAGACCGACTGGTAGACTGACTGGTACGACGTCTGAATGACAGCTCTTTGTGGATGACGTAGTTCAGCTGGCTTCATGGGGTGGTGACCTTCAGTGGGGCGGTCTGCAGCGGGGTTCAGATTCAGAAGTCGGAGGTTGTGGTGGACCGTGACCTCTGGGCTGGAGGTGAGCTGCTACCTGAAGCGAGTGTTTCAAATGCTTCAGTCTGATTGGAAAGTAGTAAAACACCAACAGTTGTGCCTCCTTGGTGTCCACAGCTGTTCTTGTCTAAACTAAACCTGAGCCCTAAACTAAAGGTCTGGTCCAGCAGAAAAGGTTCCACAAGTTCCACCGAGCGAAACCACAGAAGCACCGACTTGTGTTTATCCAGTATCTCGCTCATTAACCTCCCGTTTACCAGGTGCTCTGTATTCATCACCGTTTATTTCTGCCCTCATCCTGCCGTCCGTCCTTTTCCTTTCTTTGCTGCTTCGCCTCCTCTAAAGATGCTACGAAAGTCCCGCAGGCTGCTGGGAAACCGACAGGCAGAAAGGCCGGCCACGGAAAGTGGAGCTGCTTCGCCAACACAATGCTGCAAAGCACACACACACACACACACACACACACACAAACACACACACACACACACACACACACACACACACACACACACTGAAAGTCTCTCTTTAGATTGCGTTACTGCCTGGAAGGCGACGTCGGCGTGCTGAGGCTCTGCTGACCTGGATAGTCGAGCACATGGCGGTTCATAGACAGCAGAGGTTCTGTGCAGCTGTTTGGACGAACATCTGGACCCGACCCGGTCATTGAACGTCCAGCAACAAGCAGATAACCGTCGACTGAGCCGGTCGGTTCTGTGCTGATGGAGAACTGTTGAGTTCAAACGCTGAGAGAAAACCGACGGACGTTGTTCATGTGTTGCTAAGAAACGAGTCTTTGGTCAGAAAACGAAACCTGGAAGACGAACGATAAACACAAGCTGCAGCTCTGAGAGTTGTTCAGCTTTCATCAAAGTTTGCTTCCTGAGTGGCTTTTTTTTATTTCTGATTGGACGGATCAAAATTCAGTGACTGGAGAAGAACAAACCACATTCTGTCCTGGACAAGCTGCTCACACTTTCTGAGATTAGCGGATAAATAGTTCAACAGAAAATCCACGTCACGGCCTCGGAGTCGCCTGTTTGAGCAGCAAACCTGAAAGTCAAAATATTCGTCTGATTTCATGTAAAACGAAGAAAATGAACTAAATTTAACATCTGAGACGCTTGAACTCTTGAATTTTTGCCACTTTTGATGATATTTTGTAGGATGTTAGCCCTGATACTTAAGATTAATGAATAAATGAGTCGTATTAATGACTGACGATTAAATTCTGAACATGTTGAGGTTTATTATCAGGTTCATTGATTCTTCGACCAACAGCAGCGTCCACATCAGATGTTTCTTGGAGACTCCATCCAAAGAAAATCCTCGTTAACATCTGTTGTGGTGTTTTCATGCACAGGAAGACACACGATGAGCAAAATAAACCCATTAATGAGCATTTCTACTTTGAGGTGAGCTGGTGTGCTGAGCTGCAGCTACTGGGGAGGAGAGAAGGAGGCAGAGATCGGCACTGTAACGTGTTTTAAAGTATAATATGAAGGATTATTTCCATAGAAACGAACCTAAATACAGTCAGAGAGGCTCAAGAGCTCACAGGAAACTTTAAAAATAATCACTTAACGGTGATTTTGTTGCAGATTTCACTGAATCAGTCAAATGTGAAAAACGTCCACGTCCAAAGTCTGCATTTTTAAAAATAGTAAAATGTTCTTTACAAGATGCAGCCATGAAACCAAACATCAGTAGTAGTTTGCTGTTGTTTCTTATTTTATTTATTTATTTATTTTAACAGTGATCCAGTATTTTCTGTATTTTATTTAGTTTTATTTTTTTACGGTGCATATCTGCTCTGTCAGCCTGTTAAGTGTCAGATCAGCAGTTATCTGGTTTAAATCTTCCAGTGAATTCCATCTCATCAGTGTTTCTGTCCGTCGCTCTGACTTCTTGTCCTGCATTCATGGTCCAGACCTGATGCGCGTGTTTCGGCTCTTTTCTTTGTTTTTGGGGAACGATAGAAATAGAAGATCCCAAACATATGAACAGAGCGTAGAATCTGCGCAGAGAAACTAGAAAACAGAAGATATGCGGATAAATGAGGACCGTCGGTCAGTGAACGCACCACCGGCAGGGATCCGCGCGCACCTCTCGCTCCGACCGTTTCCGGTTAAAACTCACCTCCACCTCGAACGTGCGCTCGCTGTCGTCCAGGAAGATGACCCGCAGCCGGAGCTTGGTCTCCCTGGAGACCCGGGACTTCACCGTGAGGCTCCCGAGTCTCCGCCGGTGCCGGTCCCCCATCTGTCGGCGTCTCAGGACGAACCGCGACCCTCCGTCACATCCATCTCCCGGAGAGTTCAATCCCCCAGAACCGGCTTCATGCGCGCATCGTCCTCATCCTCGCCTCCGTCCCCGTCTTCCTCCTCTTCCTCCTCTTCCTCTCCTCCGGGGCTCCGCGCGCTCTCCCGGTGCGTAATGGCGCGTGGACGCTGTTCCCAGACGCTGCAGCGACTGATCAGCGACCAGCTT